GGAGCCCCCCCCGCCGCCCTCCGGGGGCTGCCCGCCGTCCCCGGGCCCAGCTCGGCTTCCCGGGGCAGCCCGGGTGCCCCTCGCCCCGGGGCTGCGCTCCAACCCCTGGCCGCGTCCGAGGCACGCGAGACGGGCCAGGGGGTCGGGGCTTCCCAGGAACGAGACCTTCACAAACCCAGGTTTGAGCCCCACACGTCCACGGGCAGCGTGAAAGTGAGCATGTCTGCCCTGGGGGAAGCGGTCCAGTCTTCAGAGGTGGTTTAAGATAGAGTAGAAAGCAGAGACTAATGCAGTTAGCCTCGTTGTGTGAATGTATGACGTTTAGTTAGACACATATCCTGGAAAAAATCAAGTCTACGGGTATTACAGTCTTGCCACATTTTGTCTGGCCAGCTGTTCCAGCTATAAGCCTTATGGAACAGAGATGTTGCTCAGTTCAGATTCTTCAGTATTAGGAAGATACTCCTGGCATAAAACAGAGGTTAAATACCGTCACTTCTATAGCAGAAATGACACGTGGACTGATCCAAGGAATATCTTTGCAGAATGATGTATGAAATAATTAGATCTTGAAGCTGAACCGTCAGTGGGTGGATGTGGAGTTCGATGCCTTCATTTGCTTGCGTAGCACTCCACTGGGTTTCTGCGGCCGAAAGGAAGGTGATTTATTCTGTCAGTTGCTGCATCTTGCTCTTTTGAAAGAAAACTGTCCAGATGACCAGAAAGACTTTAAGACAGATCTCTGCATGGAGTGGCATACTGATCTGATTGCACTTACACAGAAGCGAAGGCTTTAAGCACACTTACAGTATTAATACCTTTTAGACATCCATATCGTCATTATTAACATTATTTGTTATTCATTTTTTACCCATGATATAAAACTTCAGAAATACACCACTGACAATAGGAGTAAAGCTCTCGAGATGGGACTCTAAAGAGGATAATATTCTAAATGCTCGAAAAGACTGTCTCAGAGTGTGGACAGAAAATATCTGAAAGAGGCTTACTTGAAGGGTACTGAGCTAAGGCCAAGGCTGCTGTGCTTGGCTGCACGGTCCAGGTTACTTGTTGTCTGTGAGCATGATCTTGTTGCTAGTGGGCGAAAAAACCCCAAACCAAAACCCTGCACCCCATCCTCCTAGAGTTCCCAGAGTAGACCCAGAGGGAACACATTAAAGAAGTGTTCCTGAGAGAACACATGAGTGGAGGAAGAACAGCTCTTAGGATAATAAGAAAACTGCTGATGGAAGAAAGGAAGGAAGAAAACTTCTTCCTTTTTGGGATGGATGTCACGTTTACAGTAGATGGTAATGGGTTGGGGGGAGATACGACTTTGGATTATTGCTCTGCTGCAGTCAGGAGTATTGGAATCTTGGCTCTTGCTTGATGAGGCACTTTATTTGATTAAAGTTTCCCTTTTAATCAGAGATATGGCCATTTCCCGTCTCTAAAATGGAATCTGGCTCTGGGGGTCATGTCTGGATAATAAAGGGACTGCTTCTCTTGTCTCGGGGGAGCTGATATTGAATTTATTGCCATCAAGGGAAAGCAGAATTATACTTGTAAAATGTTGCATAATAAATTTAGCCTTCTTAGTAAATCAAATCAGCTGATACCGTTATCTACAACAGATGCGTCATCACTACGTGGGCTTCTTTGACTGGATGGAACTAATGGGGAGAAGCTGTACCTTCAAATGAGGTCAGAGTTGGTGGACCCACAGCGAATTAAACTAAAATAAGACTCCTCAGTGTTTGGCTTAGAAACTCATAATTATCTTTGAGATGGGACTTTAGGGTGAGATGACATGAAATTACTTTTTAAATTTTGTTCTGTTATTCCAAAGCCCAGGAGATATGGCACTGATTTTGGCTTGAGAGGAAGAATGTGGAGGAGGTAATGTACTTCATTTGTCCTGCAATGCAGAACATTCAGTTTTGGAAAACCACTTTTAATGTCAAGGAGACAGAGAAGATTTGAGGTCTGTATAAAGAATGGAATTGACTAGACTAGGCTTACTTACTCCTTTCTTTGTTCTAAAGGCTGTAGATGAAGGAAAGTACAGTTCACGGTTCTGTCCTATTCCAGAATTTCTTCTTAGATTTCTTGTGCCCAGAAAAAAGCTCAGGGGTGGAAATCACATTTAAGATCTTCCCGATTTCAGAAACAACAGATAATATATAACATGTGTAACCATATAAACCCATCCTTCTAATTATGATATCAGTTCAAGTGGGACATGAGTGGAGAGTGGGGCTTAGTACTAGTACTGTTGGTTCTACTTCTGACAGTCACTTCAGATTTAAAAGAAAGACCTAACTAGCTCAGGAATTTTTGAAAATAAGATGTTTCTATCCAAACAGAAAAATTAATATGCTAGTAGCTAAACAGAAAAAATGGCTGTGTACAATCTGCACTTGCTTGTCTTGCTTCGTACTGAATTGATGGTCCTTGTACTTTGGAATGACAGTTGTTTTAAATGTTATATGAGGGTGATCTTACAGACAGAGAGAAGTAACCACGGCTGGGATGCACACTGCTATCAAGAATGGACTGAAGTTAACGGAGTGTCCCTAGGAATCTTTCTTGCACATGAGAAAAACTTTTTGATATAGGGAGTCCAAATGCAATGACTCAGAGAGTTAAGATTTCTTCATGTCTGCAAAATATTAATTTTCTTAATAGCTCTAGTACTTAATGTCTGTAATACAGAGCTTGTCCTCTTAAGCGTATGGCAATATGTTTTAGCACTTAATGCTGAGCTATTTCTGTATTTCTTTTCTACATCATTTCTGATTAAAAGACTTGCATAGCTGATCCTGTCAAATCGGAGAGACTCACCTCATTTAACAAATGTGTTATTATAATCTTTAGAGGTGCGGTGGGAGAAAAGAGAGATCGAATGTAGAGTCCATTTTAACAACTTCATTTCAAACACATTTTTGTGCATGAAATGGGAGTCTATAGAACAGAAACCAATGCATTATTTCTGTGAGTGGAATTACTGAGAAGATGCTGGTATTTTGCCTTAGTATGTCAGTGGTAGATGATCTTCCTGATTTTCCCACCAAGCACTAACATCTTCATATGACTGAAAGCAAAAGACAGAGGCACATGCAGATGCACACACAGACACACACATGCACAGATGCTTTGGAGACTTAAGGAAAGGGGGAGTTGTGGCAGTGGTTGGCAAAGCCCAGTGGCTGTGATTCTCCAGGGCAGCACTGGGGGAAGGTGCAGGGGACTTGGCTGGCCCTTGCCTCTGGTACAGGCTCTCCCGGCTGGGGTTACCCTCTCCAGTTGCCCTGTGCAGCCTGGCTCCATCACCAGTCACAGACTGCATTCAAACACGTACTGGCAGTGAGATGCTGGCCCACTAGGCTTTAAGGCAGTTTGAGCAGTCCCCATTGACAGTACCTATGTGGCAAGCTT